TATTCTTTTGAGAATACGCTGTTATAGTAACGATATACCCAAAATAATGTGGCTAACTTTTGCTTTCCAGGTAATACATATTTGTCTGTAACATTATTTCATTGATAGCAATCGAAAATTCAATCAAAAACAATTGAAACTGAAGTTTATGTAGCATCAGCTGAAAAGAATTTCTTAGAAGAACGAATGAAATTATGTACCTATCTATGGAAAAATGGTTTTAAAGTTTGATTATATATGTTAAATTTTTTTTTTTTTTGAAAATAAATATTTTAAATTTTATAGACAGAAATGGCATATAAATGTAATCCAAAATTACTTGATCAATTACAATATTGTGAAAAAAATCAAATTGAATTATGTGTTATTATTGGTAGTTCTGAATTAGAAACTGATACAATTAAAATTCGTGATGTTATTACTCGAAATGAGGTTAGATTATTTTTGTTTAATTGAACTTTCGTTTTTTTATTTATCTAATAATAAATATTTTCATATATTTAGTTTCTAATTCCACGAGAACAATTAATTGATGAAATACGTATTCATCTGAACAAAGTTCGACAACGATTAGCAGAAAATAAACAACAATAGTTCAATTTTATTTTTATTTAGTTTTCCTTTGTTATGTTTGAAGATTTGAATGAGGAACAAAAAAAAAATGTTTTGTTTTTTTTTGTCTTTATTTTATTTTTATTTATAGAACAGACAAGAATTTGTCAGTTATGAATGACTCTGCAGAAAAAGCAAGAGAATCATTTTGGATAGCACTCTTTAATAGCTTACTGTACATAGAGATGTAAACTGCTCGACTAAACTGTCGCGAAATCTTTAAGATATATCAGCCGTGCCAATGACTGAAAATTTTTTTAAGATCTATAAGCCGCGATACAAAACTAGATATTTGATTTTTAAAAATTTCCGACGTTCCAAATCAATTTTTCGAGATACTATCGTTTTGTCTCTTTGTTGTTTCAGAATTTCTCAAAATTGAGAAAATTTTTAAAAAAAAATCATCGAAAAATTTCAGCCGCTGTATCGACTGACATCTCTGGCTGTGCATTAACCTTCTTGTTCATTTCTAATGGTACTTAAGATCAAATCGATAGGATAGAAAAGTGTTTGATATTGTTCGTATTGAATAAATTACATGAGGAAATCAAATATTCTCTCAAGAGTTTAGCATAAACGATTATTGTTTTTTTTTTTGGATACTGATAAATGATTATGCAAATGAAATCTTTATTTTTAGATTTATTAGTTTTTTTTAATTTGTATATGTATCGTCAATTATCAACATTATCTGTATCATCTCTTCTTAAAACATATTCATTACCAATTGATGATAAACATATTAATTCAAAATTTATACCTAAATATCGATTATCATTAATCGATCATGAAACACCTGTTGAAAAATTACGTTTATCTTCATTATCATCAGTTAATATTTATATTAAACGTGATGATCAACTTGATTTATATTCATGTGGAAATAAACTTCGAAAACTTGAATTTCTTTTTGCTGATATACTTTCACGTCCAGAATGTCATCATATAATAACAGCTGGATCATTACATAGTAATCATTGTAAAGCTGTATCTGTACTTGCTGCACGATTTCAACGACAAGCTCATGTTCTACTTCGAACTGATCGTGATAATGAAGATGAAAATATTTTACAAGGCAATGTACTTTTAAATTATTTATTAGGTACTAAATTATATTTAATACCAAAAAAAGCTAATATTCAACGTGATATTGAACCAAGAATGAAACAATTAGAAGAAGAATTAGGTGGTAAAGATAAATGTTATTTAATACCAATAGGAGGGTAAATATTTTTATTGGATTTTATTATATATATATATTACATTTGTATTTAGATCAGATATAGTTGGAATATTTGGATATTTCGATTGTTTTATACGTGAAATAATTCCATTAATTGATAAACTTAATCTTGGTCATCTTGTTGTACCAGTAAGTAGTGGTGGTACAATGGAAGGACTTTCTCTAGCAAATTATTTTACTGGTAATCGTTTACGTATTCATGCATTTGCTGTATCGGATAATCAAAATTATTTTAAAACTCATTTTAATACAATTCTTAGTCAATTAGAACTTGAAAATTTAATTCAATTAGTTGATAATGATAGTCTTGTTGATATTTGTGATTCATATGTTGGTTTAGGTTATGGTCGTATGACAAATGAACAAATAGATTTTTTACATAATATTATAAGTGAAACAGGAATACTTTTTGATCCTGTTTATTCAGGTAAATGTTTATGGGGTTTATGTGAAGAATTACGAAATAAACATACTGATCGATTTCCAAATGATGGAAAAAGTATTTTATTTTTACATACAGGTGGTTTACTTGGTCTTATGAATCCAGATTATAATAAACAATGGTTATTATCAAGTAATAGTCATTCAAATAATCATATTCGTAATTGGATGACATTATAATTTTTATTGTTAAATAGTTCAATAAAAAATAGAACAAAATCAAAACATTATTTAATAATTTGTTTTCTTTTCTTTTCTTTTTTTTTTTGTTGTTATTTTCTATCATTTTAGATGAGTTCATCAATAAATAAAGTATTTGATAATGTTCCTGATTGTGTTGGATATCTTATTATGAATGAAGATGGTTCAGTTGAACATAGTCATGGTGATTTACAAAATAATGAACAAGCTGCAAATCTTATTTATAAAATGGTTTTATGTGCAGCTAAAGTTAGCGTACATCCAACAAGACAATTAGCATTTAAACGATTTACAGGTTTAATTAAAAAAAAAAATTTTTTTTACAAGAGTAATCATGAAATCATTGATGTCTGAAAACACCAAGCCCAAAATTTCATCATCCGATATCCTTTTCTCTTAGACCTTCAGAATAAAATGAAGCTGGCACTAGAGCCCGTCGGGTCCAAAAATTTTGGACTCAGATCCGATCTATTGAACATTTTTTAGACCTGGACCCAGTCAACAATAAATTTTTGGACCCGGGCACGACCGGGACCGGGTTCGGTACCAAACCGGCGGGCTCCAGCTGGCACCTCTCTTTTACATAATGATTTTGCAATAAAAAAAACACACACATTTTTAGCAGTTTTGATTGTCATAATATAATTGTAAAGTAAAATAAATACGACATTCGAAATCAGTGACGAAAATTACGTTGAACCAAATATATTTTAAAGGACTTTTTTTCCTGCGAAAAATTCACCTGTAGTTCTCTGCGGATGCATTTTATTAAAATATTGCTTCACAGTTCGTCAGAGTTAGTTTTGCACAGAAGAAAAATTCTCTAAAATGCATTTAATTCAGCTTTGATCGCTGATTTCGCTTTACAATTGTGTCATGACAATGAAAATTGCTAAAAATATTCTTTTTTTTTTTTTATATTGAAAAATCATTATGTAAGAGAAAGATGTGAGCTCTGTTTCGCCTTGAAGATATCATTATTAATTTTTATATATTTTTCACCATTTTGTAAAGAATAAAATGTTTCATAGATATATCGGCAAAATCAAGCAGAATAGGACATTTGCACCTTTCATTTGAGACTGATTCTCTATAAGAGTGAAGTTTTTGAATAAATTCTTTTGACATAGGCTTATGTGAAAATGTTTGGTCTTTCACGTGGTTATTAATTAAAATTAATTAAAAAGTAATTAGCGAATATCTCGCTAACCATATGAGAAAAAAATCTGAAAACTTCAGGATAGGGTCTAGGGCACAAGCTGTACCTATGGTAAAATTTTCAGCAAGATTGGACTCCAAAACGTTTCTTCCGAAAAATCGGTTTTTCAGAGATCCTGAAAAGTGAAGAAGCGAAAACTTTTCTCTTATCATCATCTAGGGATTCTGAGTAATGATTTGTAACGTTTGAAGTCGATTTTGAACTTTTCAGTTGGTTACAAGAGTATCATCTCGATTGTGTAGTCGTACTGTGTCACGTCGCTAACGACAAATAAATCGGTTTTTTTGAAAAATCTAGACATACTCAGAAAAATTTTGGATATAAACTTTATAGCCTTAGAAGTCATCTACGAAATGCCCTATTTAGTTTTCTAAAATTGTGCATGAATTGGGAGTTATTAAAAACTAAAATACACGAAGTGGAAATCGATGTCCTTTTTTGTGTCACGTCGCTAACGGTTGTTTTTTACCAGTAACTCCTGTAGACAAAGCTCCATAGCGCTAATTTTTTTAGAGTATCTAGAGTAACTTAATGTCCATACAACATATAAAAAATCAGATCTAAGAGAGCTCATTATCTCGAGATACACATATTTTAATTTTCCGAAGTCACGTCGCTAACAAATGATTTTGCCCATATATAAGATTTAACTTGGAAATCTTTGATTTTGAATTCCAATAGGAGATGAATTGTTATCAAATGGATATTTTAGACTCATCACAAGTACTATTTTTCATTCATATTCGTTTTATAAAACTTAAGTCAGTCAACACTATATTATATTGAAATAACTTAATTTGTTTGGTTTTTAATTATTTATCTTTTAGTAGAAGTCATAAACAAAAAACTTTCAATCGTTTATTAAACCGAAAATGAATACAACTTTTACAGGATATTTTATGTAGTTTATTTCCATAAAGATATGATAATGGGAAAAAGTCTGTATTGACTAACTTTTCAAAGAAAGCAGAGTTGTAACCGGACCGGCAGACCGGCCGGTCCGTTCCATTCCGTTCCGGTCCGGTCCGGTAGAAGATTTCTTACCGGCCGGTATACCGGCCGGTAGAACCAACTTTTTCTCTACCGGCCCGGTCTGAATTTTTTTTGAATTTTTCCCTATTTTTTTCCGAAAAAATGATCAAAAAGGTGGTTTTTTTCGAAAATCAAAAACTTTTTACTAATGTCGAAGACTATTTTGGTAAAAAAAATTGTATCAAACTATCCTATTGAGTCAAAATTTGTCATGGATGTTTTTATATTTATCCAATCCATGTGGGTACGACGTTCTGCCCGTATAGTTCAAGGAACGACATTTTATCATTTAAAACAGTTTTTATTGGCCAAAACTATCGTTTATCATACCTAAACGGTGTTTCAGAAAATAAAATAGCTGGATATTGACCTTCGTAAACAGCACAGAAATGTTATTATGTGTATATAAGCTCAAATGCATACAGAAACGTTTCCGTAGCGTTTACGAAGGTCAATTTCCAGCTATTTTCTGTTTTGAAACGACGTTTAGGTATGATAAACGATAGTTTTGGTCAATAAAAACTATTTTAACCGACAAAGTGTCGTTTCCTGAACCACATCGGTGTTGTTCAAATAAAATCAAATGATTAATTGTTTAGCATCGTAGTTTATCATGGATTTATTTGTATTTCCCATTATTTATTGCCTATAGTCCTGACAGACACGAAAGATGACAAAGCGAGTATAGCATACGAGCAATAAATAGAGCCCATATTTGATGAATAGTTAATCAAAGTGCAAAATTAACATAGAATTTATGGTCGTATGAACTTTTGTGCTCACCAACAGATATCGAGAAACAGGACACATATGAAAGCAAATAGTAAAAAGCACTGCAGTGGCGAAATAGTACTTTTATATCATAGCTGTAGTGATTAGAAGGAATATATGACTCATCTAGGTATTGATTTGAGCGTTATAGGGTCAGAAAACAGAAGAATAATTTATACCGGTATACCGGCCGGTCCGGTCCGGTCTGACCAGTTAGACCGGTACCGGTACCGGTAAGGAAAAAACCCTACCGGTTACAACTCTGGTGTACTGAGCAAGGGGAAGGTCGATGGGTTGATACCTCTAGTATTCAAATTAACCTCTAGTCGTCCTTGTAATATTCTGTTGTGAACAAAATGAAAATGAATTTGGACATATCTTAAATAATTATGAGTCCGCCTGGTTACTTTCTTCTATGTAAATCATTGAAAAAGCAAAATTTTTCTATCCATATAATAACAGATAGATAATTTTATACTGAATACATATGAGTACTTTTGCAAATCAATAAATTATTATTTAAAAAGGATCCTATAATTTGTAAATAATTCCTTATTGTCTGAATAATATATATTTTCTTCTATACTTTTAGACAAATT